GGGCTTTTAGGTGTGCCATTAAGATGTTTGTATGGGATGTCTCAGACTTCTTTCTGGAGGCACTTTGTGCTATGAACTTTCCTCTTCGCACTGCTTTCATTGTGTCCCATAAGTATGGGTAAGTTGTGCCTTCATTTTCGTTGAATTTTAGGAAGCCTCTAATTTATCTTTTCATTTCTTCCCTGACCAAAGCTATCACTGAGTATAGAGTTGTTTAGTTTCCATGTGTATGTAAGCTTTTTGTCATTTCTGTTATTGCTGAGGTCTAGTTTTAGGCCATGGTGGTCTGATGGGATACAAGGAATTATTTCAATCTTCTTGTATCTGCTGAGGCTTGCTTTTTGACCAACTATATGGTCAGTTTTTGAGAACATTTTGTGAGGTGCTGAAAAGAAGGTATACTCTTTTGAGTTTGGGTGAAAAGTTCTGTAGACATCTATTAGGTCCATTGGATTTAGGACCTCTCTAAGTACCATTATTTCCCTATTTAGCTTCTGTCTAGATGATTTGTCCCTTGGTGAGAGCGGAATCTTGAAGTCTCCCATTATTAAGGTGTTGGGATCAATGTGTAATTTGAATGTTAATAATGTTCCATTTATGAATGCATGTGCTTTGTATTTGGGGCATAGATGTTCAGGATTGTGATGTCCTCCTGGTGGATTTTCCCTTTGATGAGAATGAAGTTTTCCTCCTCATCTTTTTTGAATAATTTTTGTTGAAAGTCTATTTTATTAGATATTAAGATAGCTACTCCAGCTCATTTTCTGGGTCCGTTTGCTTGAAAAATCTTTTTTCCAGCCATTTGCTCAGAGGTAGTGTTTCTTTATTGCAGAGATTTGTTTCTTGGATGTAGCAAAATGTTGGGTCCTGTTTCTGCAACCATTCTGTTAGTCCATGTCTTTTTATTGGAGATTTGAGTCCATTGTTGTTGATAGATAATAGTGACCAATGAATGTTAATTCCTTTTATTGTGGAGTTGATGATGTTACTATTAATTGTTTTCTTTTAATTTTTTGCTATATCCTGTGTTTTCTTGGGTGTAGTTGATGTCATTGGATTGGAGTTTTCCTTCTAGTTTTCTTTGTAGGGCTGGGTTTCTGTGTAGATATTGTTTAAGTTTAATTTTGTCATGGAATATTTTGTTTTCTCCATATATGTTGATTGAAAGCTTTGTTGTGTATAGTAGTCTGGGTTAGCATCTGTGGTCCCTTAAAGTCTGCATGACATTTTCCCAGGCCCTTCTGGCTTTCATAGTTTTTGTTGAGAAGTCTGGTGTGATTCTGATAGGTCTACCTTTATATGCTACTTGGTCTTTTTCCCTTGCTGCTTTTAATACTTTTTCTTTGTTCTGTAGATTTAGTGTTTTGACTATGATGTGACTTGAGGAGGTTCTTTTCTGGTCCAGTCTATTTGGTGTTCTGTAGGCCTTTTGTATGTTAATGGACATATCTTTCTCCAAGTTGGGAAATTTTTCTTCTCTGATTTTCTTGAAAATATTTCCTGGACCTTGGAGCCTGGAATCTTCTATTTTGTTTATTCCTATTATTCTTAGATTTCATCTTTTCATGGCATCCTTGATTTCTTGGATGCTTTGTGTTTGGAACTTTCTGATTTTACTTTTTCTTCGAGAGATGTTTCAATTTATACAATTGTACATTCAGCCCCTGAGATTCTTTCTTCCATCTCTTGTATTCTGTTGGTGATGCTTACTTTTGTGGTTCCTGATCGTTTCTCTTAAGTTCTCCAGCTCCAGGATTTTCTTTTTGTTTTCTCTTTATTGATTCTAATTCTGTTTTCATGTATTGCACCATTTCCTTCATCTGTTTGAATGAGGATTCCTGTCTTTCCATGATGGCCTCTATTTTTTTTTTTTTTTATTCATTTCATCTTTATGTGCCTCCATTTGGGTGGCTATTTCTTTGAGAGTCTTGTTTGTTTCCTCTTTATGTGCCTCTAATAACTCGATAAGCATAGCTTTAAAATCATTCTCCTTTGTTTCCAATGAATTAAAATATCCATTGATTTAGGGGGTTGCTGGTGAAGCCATGATGTCCTGATTTTTGTTCGATGTGTTCTTACTCTAGCCATGTGCTTATCCATAACCTTCACTGTTGTTTGTTCCTGGAGTCTGTACTTCAGACTGTATCCGACTGTCTCTAGTGTCTGGAGTATTCTTAGGAAGATGGGAGAGGTCCACCATTTCGAGAGTGGATGTTAGTGTTTCAGCTGTAGCTAATGGAGGAAGGTCACAGGTGCATGTGTGAGTATGTGGGTGGAAGTATGCCTTGAGGGACAGTGTACGAGAGCATGTCAATTCCTGCACGGGTGGAGCTTAAGCACAGGAGGGGGTGCTGGCGCTGTTCATGGGTGCAATGCACATGCACAGGTGCCCTGAAAACCTCAGTGGCCTACAGGCCTGCAGTGCTGTCCTCCTGCTTTTCAGATCTGTGTGGGCTCCAGGAATTGTTTGTCTGGACTCCACTGGCAGACCCACAGAACAGGCCTTCAATGTTGAGAACACTGTCCCAAGGATCCCTGTGTTGCCCACAGTTGGGGTGTGGGTGGGAGAGATCTGATGTCTGGCTGCTAGCATAGAGGGACCCTGGATCTAGGGCTCTGTATGCACTCACTTGAAGGCACTCTCACTAGCCTGCAGGCCTAATTGGAAAGCATAGGGGTTCCCCTGTTCTCTACTTTCAGATTTGGGCCTGCAGGGCAAATGATATCCATCAGCCCAGCGGTGTCCACTGTTTGGCTGCCAGGCAGGGTGATTCATACTTGGGACAGCCGCCTCTGCTGTCTCAGTCACTGAGCACAGAGGCTCCGGGACAACCAGTGCATCCTCCACAGAGCTGGGAGGCCCGTGTTTGGGGTAAGGGAAGTGCAGGGCGATTGAATATTCGCCACTCTCAGTCCCTGGAGACGGCCGGAGATGGTCACGGGTGACCTGGATCCAAACTCTCCTAGCTCACAGGTTGTCCCCTCTCTCCCAGGAAGCCTCAATGTCAATGTTCTGGCTTCAGCTGCCCCTCCACTCACCAATTTTGGAGTTTCAGATCCCTCAGATACAGTATGTACTGGCCGCCACCATCTTGGATTCCTTTCACTCTGGGAATTAAAAAAAAACTAAAATAAAGTGTTGCTCTTTGTAAGTTCTCCAGGTTCAGTCTGTCATGGTAGCACAGGTAGACCAGCTCCCGAGACTACATTATACAGCTGCAGTACAGGGTTTGTACATCTGTAAATTCAGACTTCACCTTTAGTCTCACTGGTCCATTCTTATCTTCACTAACACTTTTGTTTTTTTGTCTACTTTACTCAAGTAGAAACTCTTCTGTTAGCCAAAATTCTACCCAAGACCAAGATTAGCCCCATCTGTATGCATGCCTTTGATCCCAGCAGAGGCTGGTGAATCTCTATGAGTTTGTGGCCAGCCTGGTCCATAAAGTGAGATCCAGGATGGCCAGAGCTACAAAGTGAGACCTGTCTCAGAAATACATGTTGTTGTTTGTTTGTTTGTTTGTTTGTTTTCACTAACTCTGTTTCTCTATATATGGGCCTCAGATACCCTGTATTAGTATCACCTGGGAGAGTTGTTATCAATTTGAACTTTTGGTCACCATTGGAAACCTTGTTGCTGTTGTGTGAATCTCGTTTCTCACCCCAGTGCTTGTAAACCAGTAACTACCGGAATCTGAAAGGAAGGCCTGGGGATTTGTATAGGGCAGTTTGGGAGCCACAGCACTCTCCTGACTTAGAGCCAAGCCCACTATCTTCAGGACCCACTTCCCTCTTCAGTTAAGCTCTTCCAGGACTAGTTGGATTCAGGGTCAGGTTTAGAGCCAGTCCAGGGAAGGCTTTGTTCTTTTCATTGTAATTCACTATGGGGGTTCTGCACGTTTAGAACATATGAGGGCTGTGGGCGCTAAAGGCTGGTCCTTTCAAATTGCCCATGTTGAAAATTGAGCTGAACCCACGCTGTAAACAGTATGCTCCAAGGCCAAAAGCAAATGAATTTTTTTTTTTTTTTTTGGAATGAACCAGTGGTATGAAGTGAGGAGTAGAGGCACAACAGGCTTATTTGGCAGGAATGAATATGTTTGCCAGCCCTAGATGCCGGCAGAAAGTGTGGGAAGTGAACACTGCTCCTTGTTTTCTGTAGAAAGGAAGAGAACAGGATGGTATCCAACCCCCCTCCTTTTTTTTCCATCAGGAAGAGGGAAATATGTGAGTTAGGCTTGATGATGAGGCAGTATCCAATAGACAGTGTTCTCTAGTCTACCTCCTACCTCTGTTAACTGGACAAACAACTTACATAAATTCTCAGGAGCATGAGATTTTTCTTGGAAAACAGCTCTCTCTAGCTGGGGTTTGGCATTCCCTGTGTCTTCCTAAGTGAGGGGCCTCACTGCAGTTAGAAATTGAATTCTTGTGTGTGTTTGTGACCAATTAGTATGACCAGCTTCATCTTGGATTGGACAAAAAGAAATCTCAGATGGAAGTAATTACATTCCTAAACCCTTGTATTTATAGAATATATTTTCCAGAAAGCCGAAAGCTAATCCTGTGTGTCTCTGTGTGCTTGGTGAGGGGCAGTTTTCTTAATGAGTCTCATTTGCCATGTGGAGAATGGAGAAGCTTGGTGAGTTGAAAAGGTCATGTGGCACTTGCAGCAGAATTGTGAAGGGTTCACTCAGCTCCCACCCCTGTCACTTAGTGACCTTCGAACTGGAGTCTTAAGATCAGTGCCAGGAAAGCTACATAAACATCATTTATGGAGTTCAAAATAGAACTTCCTCGACCTGTCCAAGAGATTCCAGCTTAACCAGGCCTAGATCTAGGGAACTGTTCTTATATATTCCAAATATCATGATTTACAACAGGAATAGTACCTGACAACCACACTGTCTACCTGCTGCTCTTTAAGGAATGCCTTTGACTGGAATGTGCTTTATGTAATGTCTTTTTTTTTCTTGACACCCCTTATCTAACTCCTTCAGGCCTCCCAGCTCAGGCCAAGAAACATGCTCAGTCGGCCAAGAGCACACTGCTCTCCTGGAAGCAAAACACGACCTCGGACATGGAGCGAAAGGAAATCCTAGAAGCTCTTGTTGTGCTCTACTATACCTTGGGGATAGCCTGGCTCCTACAAAATCAATATCCTTTCTTTCCCAAGTCCTCCTGGTAAGCAAGGTTACAGGCCACGTGTCAGATGGGAGGGGGAAATGGAACTGGTTGCGTTCCAACATCTAGGCCCTCCTTAAAGTGCTTGCCCACCTAAAAAGGTATGTGTTTTATTTGTGTGTCTGTTCCTATAAGCCCAAAGTTGAGGCATGGAAGGCATCTCGCTAGCAATGCACCCCCGTAACCAAATGGAGTGTTCTAAGTCTGGTGGGTTTGTCATGGAATACACAAAGTTAGCATTCACAGTACATATGTAAGTGGTAGTTGTGGTAGCAGTGTAGGATTGGAGGCAATGGGAAGGAATTTAAGGTCTACATTAGCAAAATAGCCTCCTTTCCTTTGTAATTCCTTGGAGAACTTTTCGAACAAGTAGATGGCTTTCTCCCTGGAGATATTGATTTCCTAGGTCTGGGAAGCTTCTGTACCCCGAGATGCTTGAAAGCCACAGGCAACTACAATATATAGCAGACTTACTGGTTTATTGAGTTCTTGATCATATTATCAGTTTTTAATGCTCTTGAGAATATTACCTATGAAAACAGAAACCAAGCAAATAGACCAAGGAAGTTCTCCGTAGTTCCCTGGTATATCACCTGAGATACTCAGTTTATTTCAGCTTCTAGTTATAGAAGTTCTATTCAAGATCTGCTGGCTTCTCTGCTTTTGGGGCCTGTAGTAAGACAGAGCATCATGGCAGGAGTATCTAGTGAAGTAGAACCACTTAGCTCATAGCCAGGGAGGAGATGAGAAACAACAAGGAAGGTGCTAGAATACCACTGTATTCATCAAGACCATCTCCCCATGACCAGTGTCCACCTGTCAAGGTGCCACCTGCTTCCAGTAATGTCACACTAGTGTACAAGCTCTTGCTGCACACACCTTCCAGGACACCAGAGAGTAAAATGGTATTAGTGTCTATCCTCAAGAAACTTGATCTTTGTGTGTATCCCCCCCTCTTGAAAGGTGTGAAAAGAAGTACAGTTCCTTAATATTCTTGAGCACTCTGAGCTCAGTAGCCCCCATTTCTCCCCCTCTACACATCCTCGTCTCTATTGGTTTTGTGGTCAGCTTGCTATATCTGACATGTGGTTTTCCAATGCCATACCCTTAGGGGGGAGCGGTTGAAATTCGGGAAATAGAAGGATGTTTGGGAATTAAGGGGATTTTCTTTCCTGCTATTTGTCTCTGGCCCCAAACCTGTTTTTCTTGGATTTTTTTTTAAATAACTCAAAAAGTCCCTTTCAGTATAATTATTTCCTCTCTTTCCCCATTGCTATGAAACAATTTGGTAAAAATGAATAACTGTTGTTGAGTAGTCAATGTCTCTAAAGGAAATCTAGTGTAATTTACAGTTTCCATTCATTCCCGCAGACTCTCACCACTCCAGACCTGATTCAGGAGGCCACCACAGGAAACCCAGGGCTTTGTTCTTTTCCAGCAACTTCTCACTTCTTGATGACATACACATGGGGAATAGAGAATACAGTTAAATAGCCATTTTCAAGCACTGCTTTGTTTTCCTGAGGGCCCCCCTTTTGTTAGCTTATAGACTGCTGTCCCTGCGTAGTGGCAGGTACTGTGCCGGGAGTTACCCTTGACTCTTTCACTGGCAAGCGATCCTATATCCACCTGCAGAAAGCAGAGAGAAACATGAAGGAACTGGAAGAGTTAAACAAGGGAAGCATTTGTGAAATCCAAGTCTCAGAGAAAGACCTAACCATTGCTTTGGGCAGGTAAGATCTAGCCATAAAGAAGTGGAAACTTTTGTGAATGAGGTCTGGGGTTCTTTTTGTTCTGTGACCTGATAAAAGAGGGGAAATGTTCAGAGCCAAAAAAACTCAATGGTCAACTAATAATAAAAGAGGCTAAAGGCCACACTTGATCCCCACAGCCACCATGAAGGTGGTCAGTATTGTGCTTTTCTCAAGAGTAACAGCAAGGAGATTAAACTGGTTAAACAATTGGTCTAAGGCAGTGGTTCTCAGCCTATGGGTTGTGACCTCTTTGCAGGTTGTATATCAGATATCCTGCATGTCAGATATTTATATTATGATTCATAACAGTAGCAAAATTACAGTTAAGAAGTAGCAATGAAGTAAACTTACGGTTGGGGTCACCACAACATGAGGATCTATATTAAAGGGTCACAGCATTAGTAAGGTTGAGAACCACTGGTTTAAGGTAATTTCCCTTATAACTTAGATCTGTGATCTGAATTCACCCCTTCATTATAGTAACTCTCTCAGACGTACTTTGGGATTGGTTGTTTTTCTGAATTGCCTCTTACTTTTAGCATCAAGTGTGGCATCTTAACAGATAAGGAAACACTTAAGACCTTTAATAGAAGACTGTCAGAGCTATGCATAGACATGAATTGTTAAAGGAAAGCTCTGTTCTGTATAGAAACAAAGTCCATGGGGTTTGTTTAAGCCAAAACTTAAGACAAAACTTAAAACTGTTTGGAGTTAAGGATCCTCTGAGAATTGAGTATTTAGAAAGGAGACTGGGCCCATCAGATTATCAGGAAAAAGAAATAATGAAAGTTTAGTGTTCCCTGGATTTTTCAAATATCTTCACATCCTTGAAAGAAGCTATGAGTACTTGGCACAGCAGGACTGATGACCAAATGATAAATAAATGAAACGTATGTGACATCTGCCTCCTCTAAACAGCCATGCATCTAGAAGTCTAATGGGACACAGTGGGGACATGTTGGCATGTTCTGAACAAAATCAGACGTTTGACTCAAGTCCACAGGACTATAGTTAGAATCTGGTGACTGTCTCCTGCTGCCACGGAGAAGAACTTAAGAGGTTTCTGCCTGATGTGATACAAGGCTGTGTTCCCTTTTCACAATCAATTTTAGTGTTTATTTTCTTCATTCACACCACAATCTTTGAGTGTCTGTTTGTGTGCATACTAAGGGTTAGAATGCCTTCTAAGTATAACACATATCATACCCAGTTCTGGTTTATTTCATTCAATCCTTGCCATAACCTATAAGAGTAGGCATTCTTACTATTTTTATTTTACAAAAGAAAAAATAAGGCACAGAAAGGTTAGCTGACAGTGACAGAACCCAGTTAAAGAGCTTGGTTTATTACAGAAATATCTGGATTCATAGCTCATTTCCTGTACCTTGTTGTTATGTTTGATATGGATCATATATCTAGTAAAGACAAATATCTAGTTGTTGGCATACTTTTTTAAAAACTCTTTTATTTATACTTTCTTCATATTTTTCTCCTTGGTCCATCCCAATCCTTCCTAATACCCCAACGGCAGGTAGGAGAGAGAAAAGATTAGTGGGAGAGGGAGCACAGTTCTCTTAGATGCTTCCTGCTGGTTAGGGTCATTGGGTTCCTTGGAGCCAGTCCAATCCTCCTTTCAGGAGATCTCCAACTCCTGAAACAACAGCAACCAGGAGCAGCAAGGGAGAAGCAGGAGCAGCCTTGTTCTTTCTCTTCTTTACACTCTCTGGGCTCTGGCATTTATTCTCTCTCCAGAGTCTTCAGATTTAAACTATCTGCAGGTGGCAAAGAGCTCCCAAAATGAGCACGAAGCAGTTTGCTGCTGTGGACCATCTGAATCAGTTCCACATCCCACCTCTAGTGCCGCCTTTCCCATTGAAGGGCAGAGACAATAAGGCGAGATTGTTCAGACTGAACAACTTGCCAGCATCTTTCTCAGAGTGCTTGATGGGAGCCGTTCCTAATGACTGAAGAACAAGAGAAGTGCTTCGGTCAAAAGAAACACTTATCTGTTTGATAGAAGAGATCATTGTCCCAAAAAATGAGTATACAGCCTGCCAGTGCACTCATCACTCACCCTCATCTCTAGAGGATAGGAGGCTGACAGGCCTCTTGGTCTCCTCAGGTGCAAATCACAAATAGGCAGCCCTGAGTTCTTTTTCATTGAGACAAGACCTCAACTTTGTTGCCAAAGCTGTCTTCAGATTTACAATACTTCTGCTGCTTCTGCCTTATGAGTGTTGGGAATACAGGTGTGAGCCATGATATTTAGCTGAGAGCTTTGGGGTTTATAAACCCATAGGCTTTAACCCGTAACGGCTAGTTGCATGGCTTTAGAAGCCAGCGGTTTGTCTTGGTGCTCAGGCAGAGACCCTTGCTGTGAGCTTTGAGTTCCATCACCTGACAGTAGTTCATCTCCTGGTCTCAGGAGCTAGGCCCCTCAGCTTTTACACACTGATGGTTCACTAGATCTCCCTTGTGACCAGGCTGGAGGGTCTTGCAGTAGCAGCTTTTAGAGCCTCTTGCCTTCTAGTCTTAGCTCTCCAGTTCTTAGCCCAGGCTGTACTCTCTGGGTACATTGGTACTCTCCAACACATTTTTTTTTCTGATAGGTAGTCTCAGGCTGAGTGTTACAGGGTCTTGGTGTCTTCTGTTGTGATAAAGACAACAGGTGAGCAATAAAAGATAATCCTGGAGAAGCCTCTATTGGGGCTGACTTTTGCAGTACAAGATACTGCCCTAGTGAGAAGCCTCCAGCCTGCTCTGAAAAAAATGTGAAAATTTGTCTGCTTGTGAGCCAGAAGAGGTACATGACATGCTTGCACACAGCCTCACATGTACATGACAGCTAGTTCTACCAGTTATGAGTCTCACATATAAACCAATCACATGTGTTATACATGTATGAACTATAAGCCTCAAAGAGAAGCAGATTATGAGGCACAGCTGTTTGGTGCGTCATTAGAGCTGGTGCCTTATCCCACCATCACAGAAGATTGTTATTAATATTACAACATCCATGGGCTCTGTTTACGTGTAAATTATCTCATCTTATGAATTTCTGGGTGATATTTTTCCACTTGCATTTTTATAAAAATTATATGAGAATGAAATATATTCATGGGTTAAGCAAATGGTGGTAATCTGTGGGATCTTGTGGGCAAAATTCAGGATAATGGGAGTTTATTTATAGCAAGGCAGGGGTTTGAGCCAATCGTCCAGATGATTGGCCTATGAAGACAAATTCTTTTCCTGGATTCAATTCTTGGAATCAATTCCTTATGTGTCTGCAAAGTAAGTGATCTCTGCGTGACTTTCCACCTTCACTCTTTTTCTTATAGAGCCTCCTTGGCTACACACAAGATGAACCTAGCTCTTGCATATTTTGAAAAAGCAATTGGCAATGTGATCGTTACCAAAGGTCATGGCACATCTGATCTGATCAGTTTGTATGAAGAAATTGCCCAGATTGAGCAGCTGAGGAAGAACCATGAGCAGGCCATCCAGTATCTGCAGCAGGTTGGTTCTTTGGCAGGGTGGTCAAGAGGCTTCTTGCTTCTCATGACAAGGGATTAAAGTTGGTTCCTTATTTCAACCCTAACATCCTAAGGGGTGGAATTGGTTCCATGTTAACCTTTGCTCTCCTCCAGCCCCATACAAGAGCCTCCAACCTAAAAAAAATCCTGAGCAGAGGCCCCTGACTCTAGTGAACATGTATGTTCTGTGACCTAATCAGGAGTTACCATACCACACCTCTCCTAGGCCTCTCATCTCTGTCAGTGCTGGGAAGAAACCAAGTGTATGTCTCCCCTCAGGGGAAAAACACATAGGGGCAGCTGAGCTTGACTTGAACAAGATGAATAGGGTAGACTCACGGTGAGACAGCTCAAAGATGTTTGCTATGCAATTCTGGTGATGAAATTTGAACCTGGAATACATGTGAAATGAGACAATAGATTCCAGAGAGTAGCCGTCTGGCCTTCACATGTGTCTGTACATGTGGATTTGGATGCACTCACAAATAATAATAGTCATAATAACAAATAAAATGTAAAAACCCACAAAGAGTCTCCTCATTCAAAACCCATGGTATTTTGTTACAATGTGTCAGATGCCCTTTTAAGTTCATTGCAGATGCTTTTATTTCCAAGCCTAAGGTTAAACTAACCAAAGTGTGTCTCACTTGGAGGTAACTAATTGGCAAATACCCGGGCAAACCAAAACATAGGAAAAAGTATTGAGCCTATGACATGAAAACCATTTAAAGCACTTCCACTTAAAATTTACTTTAAAATGTTAGTTAAATTCCCCTTCTCTTTTCTGAATAAAAGGCTGCAGTGCCCAGGTCAGCACAGATATGCTCACATGCTATATTTCCTATACTAGAAACGTAGTAGCATAATCCCACAGTCTTTGTGAAAAGCCAGGTAGTAAAGAAGAGGTGTGGCAAACCGTTTGACAGCCAAGATCATAAATACCAGGCAATGGAAAGGAGCAGTGGTTGTCAATCTTCCTAATGCTGCAACCCTTCCATATAGTCTCTCATGTTGTGGTGACCTCCAACCACAGGATTATTTTGTTTCTACTGCATAACTATAATTTTGCTACTGTTATGAATCCTAATGTAAATAACTGATATGCAGGGTATCTGATGTATCTGATATGTGACCCCTATGAAAGGTAGTTTGACTCCCAAAGGGGTCACAAGCCGCAGGTGGGGAACCACTGCATTAGAAGAATCTGCCCTGGTGCTGGAGGCACAGACTACAGAGAAAGACATGAGCTTTGAATTTAAGTCTCTCCTAAAACTGTAGTCAAGTTACAATTAGAATGAAGAAAATAATGAACGTTAGTGTTTACAGCAACACCAAAAGAATGAGTTAAAATTTACAGAATCTTTTAACTATATGTGTTTGAGTATGTATTTCATTTAACCCAGAAAGACCTTTTAAATAGGTATTGGTTTTTGTTGTTGTTGTTTTTTAATCTCACTTTTAAGGATCAGTGTAGTGAGAATATTGTAATTTGGGTTTTTTTTAAAAAAAAAAACAGAAATGTTATGGGAGCATGCTTTTGTTTTAATCCTAGGTGTGGAAATAAGAGGTTGCTTCACAGCGGGTCACTATGATTTGCCTCGTGCTCTAGCAGGGGTGTGGTTTTGCCAGCAGCAGATTTTTTGTGTGAGTGTGTGATGTTTGGAATTCTGGGGACTTTTCAAAGCACACATAAATCCTAGGGCCCTGAGAGGGGGTGATGCTGTTGTTGGCTGAGGGAGATTGGATGCTGGTGGTTGCAGTTTGTTGTTGTTTGTCGAGTGTTTGTGTACAGAGAGACAAAATGAATACACTGAATATCGTTTCAGGGAAAATCAAACTTGTCCCAAGGAACTCGATGACCCTAATCAGCAGGAAGTAGTCTAATGATAATGATGCTCCCTATCCCTTCTATTCTTCTTTCCCTTTTCCTAGTGTTGGGGGTTGGCAGGGTGGAAAAAGGATGGTGTAAGGGAAGTAGAAAAAGGAAGCCACAAAGTAGGTAAACACCAGCTATAGATCAGAAAAATGAAGCACAGAGATACCTAATTCAGCTGAAGTTATATGGCTAACAAGTGGCACAGTAGAGATTTGAACTAAGCAAACAGTGTACACACTTTGCCTTGTGTCTCGGCTCCAAAGTCGGTGGGATGATAATAACCTTTTAGCTCGAGAGTGTTTTTTGGCTGGTGATCTGGTGTGCTTGCATGGTTCTTTCCTTGCTGGTAGCTCTGGGTCAGCTGTTTTCACTCTTCTTTCCTCCTAAGTGGCATACTTTCCATTTAAACACAAACTATTAATAATACCTCTAATAAGTATTATCTTACATTTTAATGGTTACTGAATGCCAGGTGGCCTTATAAGCACTCTACATGTATTAATCTATTTAATGTTTACAGGAACTGTCTATGACAAATACTATTTTCATCATCTTTTTCTCCTATATTTGAAGAAGTTAAGGGACCCTCCTATATCATGATATGTGGCTAAGCAAGCCTGGAGGTCTTATTCGGTGTTTTGTGACTATCTTTGATTCTGACCTCTTGAGATGCTGAGCTAAGGTTAGTGTCTCCTGGGCGACCTAGTAGAAGTGATGTGGCTAAGACTTAGTTAGAACTAACCACAAGATGGTTATGCCCAGTGTTTGCATGTGGTTGAGTCCTTTAATCTTTCTGAGCCCTAATCAGTAAGAACCATACATTTTGTCTGCATAAAGTGAAAAGACTTGTTCCCCACCCACAATAGGAAGTAGCTGAGCTGAAACTCACACTCCATGCTCATCTAAGTCTGTGTTTAGTTGAGTTGGCTCCCAGTCAGCTAGCCATTCTGACAGCTGCCGAAAAATGCAGTGAAATACTGCCTCTCAGTACTGACTTCTCATGCTTTTCTAGACTGTCAGTGGGTACTGAGCTTGGCATGGTTTCTAGACTGTCAGTGGGTACTGATCTTGTCATGGTTTTCTTTTTTCCAGGCCTATTCTATCTGTGTCTCCTCATTTTCTGAAGTCAGCCCCCAAACTGCTGAGGCGAGTGCTTTACTAGCTAAAGCTTATGCCATGTCCGGAGAATCCCAGCACAGGGGTAGGTGGAGGAGGTAGCCTTGCATTTATCATCATTTATCAGTGACATTTGAGAAGCAAACTGACCAATGATCCATATATATGTATATATATATATATGTGTGTGTGTGTGTGTGTGTATAAATATATATATATATATATACACTCTTAATGGAAAGATAAAACTGGTCACAATTTTGTACAAAATCAATTCTATAATTGCACATGATGTACCTGATAACGTCCTTCTGAATTAATTGAGCACCAAAATCAACTGTCTATTTCCTGTATTACCCTAGAATGTCTGCCACATTCCCTTCTCTAAGCTGTGGAGACCATGCACCCTTAAGCATGGCTCACCATGAGGAGCCAGTTCGCTCAGCCTTAACTCCTTTTCTCTGGCTTACAAGGGAGAATTATGTAGCAGTTATAATTTTCTTGACTTATGTTCAAAGATGATAACATACTAGAATTTCTAGACAAAAGCTAAGTGTTTAATAAATCCTCCAGCAAGACCCTCCTTCCAGCAAAGTTGTCCTTGTGGAACTGGATGTCGCTGGAGAGACAGATGAACTAGTGAGGGAATGCAGCACTAGCTTGAGCAGTTCAATGGACACTGGAGTCCATGGTTAAAGGAACTTTGCTCTGTCTTGGCTGCATAGAGGATAGGGTGGAGTCTGCCCCATCAGAGGAATTTGGAATCTGTGGAGAATGTGAAATGTAAAATGTCTTTTCCTTCTGCTTGTAAAAGTAATCCATGCAGATGCATGCTTTTTTCCAGTTAGAGAAATGGGGGGAGGGAGGGAGTTAGAGAGAGAGAGAGAATTGTAGAGAGACAGAACTATTTTTTTTTCTGTTACTAATTTTTTTTGTTTGAAATTTGGCATTTCGTTTTCTCAACACCGAATATTCATTGAAGACTTACTAAGTCTGAATTTTCCATATAAATAATTTTCTCCTTTTAAGATCTATATATACTCATAGTGTATGCATTTCATGTATAACAGATTTTCACACTTTGCAGCTATAAGAGATTTGATATATTTGTATGTGAAATATTTAGCCTTTTATGTGAGAAAAAACTAATTCTAAGACAGCTTATATTTTCTCAATATTCTTAATTAAAAAACAATTATTTATTTACTCTCTGTGTGTCTCATGCTGATGTGTAGGCATGCTTGCATGCATGATTGCACTTATGAATGTCATGTGCACATGTGAAAATCATAGGACAAGTTGAGGGTGTCTTTTCTTTGACCATGTGAGATCTGGATGGTTGAACTCAGGTCATCAGGTTTAGAAGCAAGCTCCTTTACTAGTGAGCCATTTTAGCAGCCTCCTGTATATTTATTTTTAATATTCAAGAAAAGATGTCAAAAATTTACACTGGAGAAAAAAAAAATGTCTCTTCAAAATAAGGTGCCAGAAAAACTGTATTACCACATGTAATCTTGGGACTCAATTCCTATCTCTTATCCTGTAAGAAGATCAACTCCAAATGTAATCATCACACACCTTAGTATAAGAATGGAAACTCTCAAACTGACAGGGGTATAAGTAGGGAAAACACTTCAGGTTATTTCCACAGTAAGCACTTTCTAATTGTGATGTCATTCAGTCAGGAAACAACACCAACATGTGACAAGTGAGATTTCATGAAATCATTGCACAGCAAAGGAAAAGGTTGAAGAGGCAGCCTACAAAATGGGAGAAAATCTTTACTATCTTTAAAACTGATGGGGTTAATTTTTAGAATATAAAAAGAACTAAAAAAAAAAACAAAACAAAAACCCAAACAATAATGAAATGAGCGAGCAGTTATCAAGAGGAAAAATACAAATGGCAGTGAGTGTTGGTGGTATGGTGGTGAGCATAGAGCCTTCTAAATGGCCCATAAATATAAAATAATGTTCAACATCAGTAGCAGTAAGAGAAGAGCACACAGAGGCTAAAGTGAGATTCTATCACCCCAGTCACAATTCACATGAAAGCATGCTTTTGTTAAACCCAAGTAAAACCAGATGTTTTAAAATGTGTATCTTTAAGCCTTATAATTAACTAAGTTAAACTCCAACTAGATTAATTATCCATTAAAACTCAAATAAAAATTTTGATGGATAAAACTTTATAATAAATATCAGAGCTGGGAAGTGGTGGCATACACCTGTAATCTCAGAGCTCAGGGAGTCAGAGGCAGGTGGATCGCTGTGAGTTGGAGGCCAGCCTGGTCTACAAAGCAAGTCCAGGACAGCCAAGGCTACAGAGAGAAACCCTGTCTCAAAACAAAAACAAAAAGCAAACAAGAAAAGCAGTTCTAAAATAGAAATAACTAAAATTAAACTCAGAGAAAGGACTTTCTAAGCACACATAAAGGTATACAATGAAAGAATTACAGACTTCAAAGTCTTTCTTTTTCAAGACAGGGTTTCTGTATGTAGCCTTGCCTGTCCTGGACTCGCTTTGTAGACTAGGCTAGCTTTGAAGTTACAGAAATCTGCCTGTCTGTCTCTGCCTCCCCAGTGCTGGGATTACAAGCATGTACCACCATGCCCTGCAAGTTCAGTCTTAACTAGATCAATAGAACAGGAGAAAAAGGAAGAAAAAGGAGGTTTGGGGGAAGAAGGATACAAATAAGAAAGGAAGAAGTTAAATCTTCTCTATTTTTAGGTGACGTGGTACTATACATAAAATACACTGAAGATTCCATTCTCAAACACAGACATGATAGCCACTTTCAGCACACTAGTAGGATACAAAATCAGTGTAGAAAATCAATATATTAATAACAGTTAAAACGGCAGGGTCATTTATATTGGTAACCCAATAAATAACATAGTTATAAATCTAACAAAATACGTGAGAAGTGGCCATAAGAAGACTGTTAAACCAGGTGAAAGCAATCAAGTAAGAGCTATTTCTTGTGCATAGATATGAACACCCATTATTTTTGAGATTGCAGTTCTTTCTAACAGACCAAACCCTATACTAAGGAAAATACCAGCAAGCTATTCTGTGTACATTGAGAAACTAAAGTTTATATGAACAAGAAAAACAAGATGGCTGCCTGGCCTACAACTGTTATGTAAACATGTCTTGATCCAGATTTGAACTTGTTGAACCATTTCATCAGCAGGGTAGCCTCCTGGCAAGAAGAGAAAGCCCACAAGGCATTTGTTTAAGGTAGCATCTCCATTTGTAACCCAGGCTGGCCTTGAATTCCTTATGTAGTCCATGCTGGCCTCAAACTGATGGCAGTCTTTCCTGCCTCAGCCCTTTGAGTGTTGGAATTATAGGAGTGAGCTACCATATTCTGGCTATAAGAGTACATTTTTGAATAGTAAAACTTGGCAAATCATATCTGTATATATACATACTTATTATATACATATATATAATTATATATATGTACCTATAATATATACATGTGTATATGAATGTAAATAATTATATATGTATATATTAAATATATATGATAAATATATGTTATATGTTAAATACACAAAATTTCTATCAGAGTTTTAACTAAAAATGTAGTCTTTCATAGCTAAAAGTATAATCTTTCACTGCTCCTGGGAGTCTAATATGGTAATTATTTTTTGGCCTTTAGGATAACAGAACATTTGGACAAAAGCCTTCCCCCCTACTTGAAATGCATGTTGAGTACCATCTGATTCTATCTAATCCAGTTTTGGACTTTTTCTTTGTTAATTTTTAATTTTTTTTCACAATTTATTTATCCCTATTTAAGCCCTCTCCTTCATCTCTTCCTAGTCCCACCCTCAGTCTTAGACTTTTTCAAGGTCTTTGTGAAAACGCAGGAGCAGGCACACTATCAGCCATGAAAATGTCAATGGAGCTAGAGCTGATAGTAGACATTTGTGAAGCCTTGAGGTTTGTTTTAAATAATTTTCTCCATTTTCCAGATGCTGTTGAGATATATTTTTTAAGGAGTATTAGTACATATAAAACACTGGGCTCAGAAAACTATGACACTCTTACTACCATTGAAGACTTTTGTATATGGCTCATCCAAAATGGTGAAAATCAGGTAAATGTTATCAAGCCATAAATATGATTCCTATTTTGTTTATTAGATATCAATGACTTTTTTTTTCACAGTTCAAAACTAGAGCTCACAGAAGTCTCAGATAAAACTGGGCAGAACATATGGGATTGCTGTTGGTTATGATACCGATAAAATAATTTGCTTCTGTTGTAATATATGACGTTCTTCAAATCCAGAACACTTTAATCTTAAACCTTTATAAATTTACTAATTTGAGTCTAAACTAGCTACTACTTTTGGCTGTAACTTCTAGTTTCTTTTTCTTGTGGTGGTGTTTCCCTTTCAGTCTGACCTTTATCTCTTACTAGCCAGAATTTCTTCTTGACATTTAAAAAAGTTAGGTAAAATGCTTTAGATGGTATCTTAGTTAGGTTGTCTATTGCTTTGCTCTGATGAAACACCAAGACAAGGAACAATTTCAGGGAGAAAGAGCTTATTTCTGCTTACATCTCCATACCATAGTTTCATCACTAAGGGACGTTAGCACAGAAACCCAAGCAGGACAGGAACCTGAAAGCAGTAAGTGAAACAGAGGCCATCAAGGAGTGCTGCTCACTGGCTTGCTCCTCATGGCTTGCTCAGCCTGCTTTCTTATAGAACCCAAGACCACCAGGTCATGGGTAGCACCACCCACAACAGGTTGGGCCCTTCCACATAAATCCCTAATAAAATTATCTACAGCTGATATATAGATGCATTTTCTCAATTGGGGTTCCCTCTTCCCCAGCTTGTATCAAGTTGACATAAAAACCAACCAGCACACATACTGACATTTTTACTTAGTGATCCCATTAGTCTATGTCATTGCTTAAGAAATTATGACCTAAGCTTTATGTATTTAAACACAGTGGAGACCTTTGTGTGTTATGAGATTCTACATAACTTTGAACTGAGCAAACCAATCTTGAACTTCCTCAGGAAAATGGGAAATTTGGATGGATTTGACATGGTCTCATTGGCCATATGACAACTAGTTTAAAAGTGGATTAATATGCATAAAGTTGGTAATTTACTTACTTTCATTAATAAAAGCTTTTTTGTCACACATAGAAGTGCTTCTATCACTAGTGACATCTTTATTAACTAGTACTTGTAAAATGAAAGAAGCATAATGATTTATGACATTTTTTTTTAGTGGCTCCGAGGTTAATTTTGAATCTCAGTGCCATAGAATAATCACATATCTGTAATTTTACTTTCAAAGACAAATTGTTCACCCTTTAGTAGCTTGTTCTTGTTATATGATGATGCAACGAACATCATGATCCTGTTTTTAATAAAATACACAAGCAGTGCCTTACAGCTCCCCTCTTCTAAAACCAGACATCCTCTAGGATAACAAGCTCTTGGGAAAAGATAAAAAGGGGCTTGAGTGCGGGTGATTCCTAATCTATCATACAGCAGGGCTTTGAAGTGATTATTTTGCCATTTAGAATGGAATCACCATGAGGGCAGGAATTGTGGTCTGCTTTGCTCACTGTGCATCCAGTGTGTGAAATAGTAACCAGCACATAGTAGGTTCTTAATACCTATTTCATGAAGGTGCTCAATTTTACTATATATCTTCTTCTCTAAAAAGGAATTCTTTACCCTCCCTTCAAGCCTGATATGAGCTTATTGTAGCACATTAGAACAGAAATGCATATGAGTTGGTCATCTGTTTAACAGACCAGAAGAGAGGGAAATAAAGGCCACATATGCAAAGCCCATGTTAATCTGATACTTTGTCTGGGGAAACTGGCAGCTTTCTCCCTGATGCTATAGAGTAGGAACAAGAATGCCCACTATCAATGCTTTCTTTTAACCTTATACTGAAAGTTCAGCCAAAGTGAGCAGGCCAGAAAAAGAAACAAACAGTATTCAAATTAGAAAGGGGGCTGAATTATATCTTCCAAATGATGAAATGTTACATAAAGGTCCTAAAGATTTCTCTCTCACACACACTCACACTTAAAACTAATGTTCAACCAATTTAATTTAAAAGACAAAATAAATGCAAAAATATGTTTTGTATTTGTGCACTATTAATGAAATATCTGAAAACCAAAGTAAGAAAATAATTGAAAATAATACTATTACATGAGTATTAAAAAAGGACATACTTAGAAATAAAGTTAGCCAGATTGATAAAATATTTTTGAATTCTGAAAAAAAAATAGAGAAATCTGTATCTTTAACTGTATCTATACTGAAAAATACAAGGTGTAGAGTTTTGAGATTCCTGAATTATTGGCATTGTTTCCTGAAAAGCAGCAGTTGATAGCCTTAAAAATATATTATTAAAAAACCCCTACTCCTAAGGCTCAAAGAAGATTGCAGGAGAGGAAATAGATTGTTAGAGCCAGAGGACCAGAAGGACTGGTGAGATGTTTTTTTCTGGACAGAACATGTGTGTGGCCCCCATGAACTCTCAACAATAAAACCTGCCCAAAACTGTGGGGCCAGGGTACTGTGGAATCGGGAGTAGCCAGTCTTGTAGAGTGATGTCTAGCCCTGAAAATCTCATCTCTAGAGCAGTAGGAATGAAGACTACTCTCTCCCCTGCACTGTGCCTGCATGTCCCCCACCTCTGCCACTCAGGTTATAGGTTAAATTTCCTTTCTCCCTTAAGGTCATATCCGGCAAGCACCTGGAATTCCTCCTCATGCAAATAAGACATTCCCAGCACCCTGGTCCCAGCCAATGATGTACACTCACCCCAAAAGCCTCCACCCACTCCCAAGAGGTTTAAATAGCCTTTGTTCCCTCCAATTAAAGGAGCTTCTCATTGAAGCCAGCCTCCTACAAGTATGGTCTTGTGCTCACCCACTGCCACTGAGGTCTTCATCACCCCTGGCCGTTCCTGCCCACCCCCTGCTTCCTCTCCTCGGGACCCACAGGCCACAGGTGCGGAGAAATGGGAGGGGGTGTAGCCTGAAGTGCAAAAGACCACACCAGTCAACATACCAACTGGGCAAAAGATCACAAAGCACGTCTCCCAGATGAAGAGCTTCAAGGCAGTCAGTGGCTGATGAGGGAGGGAGAATTAAGTTTTCCTCAGGTATGAGACCCCTAATATGTTGCCAAGCCTAGAGGTCATGAACTTATGAGGGGAACGTGGAGGAGTATATGAAAGAAGTTGGAGTGAAGAGAATGAAAAGTAGAAAGAAGGTAGATACAGCATACTCAGATATGGTGGTACTTGCCTATGGTCCCAGCACTGGAGGAGGCAGAGGCAAGGGGATCTCTATGAGTTCAAGGTCAGCCTGGTCTACAAAGCAAGTCCAGGACAGCCATGGCTACACAGAGAAACCTTGTCTCAAAAACAAAACAAAACAAACAGACAAAAACAAAACAACACACCAAACCAAACCAAAAACCCATAAACAAATAGAAAAACAAAATATGTAAGCTATGTTTTGTTCAATGTGCACATAAAAGATGACGACTATATGTTCAACTTAGTTCAAAAGAAATGTTCTGTTTACACATTCCAAAATGGATAATTAAGCGATGTCATATACAATTTATGAGAGTACAGCAATAACTAAAGCCCTTCACTCACTCTAAATAAAGTACATTGGTATATAAGAACACCAAAGGCCATGGATAGCTAAAGCCATTCAAAGCAGAAAGTACACAGCTGGAGCTATCATATTGTCTGACTTCTAACTGCAGTACAGAGCCAGAGTGATAGGTGCCATGGTATTGACATAAAAACAGACACATAGATCAATGGAACATGATAGAAAACCCAGAGGCAAACCCAGAACACCTAATCTTGACAAAGGTGCCAAAAGCATGCACTAGAAAGATGATGGCCTCTCCAACTAGTAGTGCTGGCAAAACTGAATATCTCCTACAGAAAAATCAAATTAGTTCCATATTTCTCACCCTGAACACTCAAACTCAATCAAGGGCCATATTTTAAAACCAGAAATGCCAAGACAGCTAATGAAAAACATTAAAAAAAAAAAAAAAAAAAAACACACAACCAACCAACCAAACTGGAGGACATAGGCACAGGTAACCTTTTCTAAATATTCTCTCTCTAGCACAGGAAAGTACCCCAAGGATCTACAGAACTAATTATATGAGATTTAAAACCTTCTTTATAGAAAAGAAACTATTATCACAATGACTACACAGCAAATCTTAACAGTTACTCCAGGCAAGGAGTTGATGTTTAGATTATATATAAAGAAATACAAGCATTAGAGACCGAAGGGGAGGGGGAGAGAAAACTACACAATGTCCTGAACAGAAAGTTCTCAAAAGGAGAAACACAAATGCCTAGTAAATGTTTTTAAAATTGTCTGTGACCTGTAGCCAGCGGAGAAATGCAAATAAAAGCCATCTCATGAGGGATGGGAAAGAAAACAGGACCACAAAAACAGAATCTTCAACATTTTAAAGACACACAACATATTGGTGAACAGTACCCCACAGTGTTTATTTTCTGTACTGCAGGGTCTCTTATCACTGTCTCTACTTCTTGCACAGACATTCTTGACTTAACAATTACAGAGCTGTGGTCAGTGAGGCTATGGCTCGGGCTCATGCTCATAGCTTGCACCAGGCCCTGGGCTCAGTCTCTAGTACCAAACCCAAAACCAAATAAAAAATTAAAAAAAAAAAAAGTACCTAGTGGCAGTGGCACTTGCCTTTAATCCCAGCACTTGGGAGACAGAGGCAGAAGGATATCTGAGTTTGAGGCCAGCCTGGTCTATGTACTAGTCTTAGGGATAGGGTTAGGGTTACCAACACACCTAAGTGAGAATAGCTAACACAAAGGAAAAAATGGCAGTAAATGTTTAAGTAACTTTTATTCTTCTGAAGTAATTGTTGTCTGAGTCTTACTGTCTCTGTCTACTAACATAGGCCTAGTCCTAGAAGCTTCTAGTCTCCATACAATCTAATCTAAGCCTAGAATGTTTTAGCCTCTGAGACTTATTGCTGAATAAGCTCACCCTTTCTAGCTCTTTCTGAACTTTGGCTGTCTGGTTCAACTCAGCTGTTCAAGCTCAAACTCCTTTTCCAGCTGACTGAGTCAAAACTGGCTTTTCTTTTGGTGTCTTCTGACTAAATAGCTCTGCTTAGTCTCAGACTAACTATGAATCTGTTCTAATCTTCTGGTTCCTTTTAATTCCCTGGGTCATTCTGTATTTATCTGTGTCTAGCTTGTTCTTTCTTTAACCTGTCTCTGTAAAACTCTCCGGGTAAAACTGCCTATGAATTCCACGAACAGAACTGCCATGAACTCAGCTCCACTGCACTGCCTCTCAACTCACTGACTCAGCTGATCTGCCTGAACAGCACTGACTAGAACTCTGCACCCTTCTGTCTCCTGAGTGCTGGGAATAAAGGCATGTACCACCAAGTCTGAACTTAAGCTTTTCTTCACCTGTAATATGCTCTATACCAGGCTGGCCTTGAACTCAGAGATCTGGCTTGCCTCTGTTTCCTGGGAAGAAAGGCGTGTCTGTATTCCAGCCAGATCATACAGAAGTTCTTTGACGTGCTCTCTTGCCAAAGTAGCTGTGTTCTGGATTAAAATTCCTCTACAAGTAAATAGTGACAATCAGGGTAGAGGCCTCTTACAAAAGTAAAACTAAAACTACCACATAACTATTCCACTTCTGAGTATATACTCAAAGGACTCTCTCTGTCCTACCACCAAGATACTGCACATCCACATTTAGTGCTTTTTTCTTTTCACAGTATCAAGGAAGCAATCAGCCTGGATGTCCATGGGGTAAAGAGTAGATGATGGTCTTGTGGTACACTAGTGCAGTGAGATTTAGTTAGCTCATAATAAGCGATGTTTTCTGGAAGAAGAAGGAACTGGAAAGCAGTGTACTAGAACAGTGGTTCTCAGCCTGTTGGTTGCGACCTCTTGGGAAACACAGATATTTACATTATGATTTATAACTGTAGCAAAATTACAGTTATGAAGTCTCAACTAGTTAATTTTATAGTTAAGGGTCATCACAACATGAGAAACTGTATTAAAGGATGGCAGCATTAGGAAGGTTGAGAACCACCGTACTGGGAGGTAGCCTAGGCTCGAAGGACAAACACTAAATGTCTCTTTTCATATGTGGATCCTAACCTCTGTTAAGGGTGTGTGTTCAGGCTGAGCATGGTGGCACAGACCTTTACTCCCAGCACTGGGAAGTCAAGACAAGCAGAGCTCTATGAGGCTAACCTGGCCTACATAGCCGGCCAGTCATGGCTTCATAATGAAAACCAGCTTCAAAAGGGAAAGAGAATGTGTGTCCACCTGGAAGCACATAGGAAAGTAGGGAGGGGCCATTGGCATCAGGACTGGGGAGAGGCTTTGAAGAAGGAGGCGGTAGAGAAGACAGTGGAACACTGCGGATAGAAGAGTGCTGGGGAATAAGGGAGAGATGTCTGGGCAGGAGGGGTGTGTATGTACAGGTGGGTGTGGAATTAATCTAATGGACTATGTATACAAATCTCATGGAAGCCTGCTATTTCATATGCTAACTTAAAAAGTAAATCTTGTTTTGTTTTGTTTTGTTTTTAAAAAAGACAGTGCATTGGGAAAGCAAATGAAGAAAATTGAGATGATGAATGATTTATGTTCATTCACAATGAACTTTTTACTTCATAATATGTCGATCAGGGTGAGCACTGTATTGAAAGATGAGATTTAAAACAAAATGCCAGTACTATGGAAGAAAAAAGGGAGGAAAAAACTGTTATGAAGACCAAAGAATTACAAAAACAGAAGTGAAAAATATGGTACTTGACTAGACAGCCAACTTTTTAAAATTATGAATAATATTGTCGAAACAAAAAAAAATTATGTTAGGTTAACAGTATTGCATCCATATAACATTTAGAGTGACAGTAGTATCGCTCTGTAGAACAGTCTTGCTCTGAGAAGACACAGGCTTTGATATTTAGGAGCTAAGTTTCTCAATGTCCATAACTTAATTTTTAACAAACCTGTGTGCCTATGTTCTTACGTTCATATATATATTTATTTACTTAAGAAAGACCAACAATAAGATAAATATGGAGAAGTGCTAATCAATTGTGAATCTAGGTGAAAATTTTTATGAGTGTTGATTCTACTATTCTTTGGCTTCTCTGAAAGTTTGAAAAGTGGAAGAAAGAGAAAGTCAGGGCTATGGAATTTCGGCTGGTGTTGAATCCTGACTCTATGGGCAGTGTGACCTTGAGAAAGAGCTTAGCTTTTATCAAGCTTCTTCTGTAGCCTGTAGAGTAAGTACAATGACCCTTCCTGTCCCACAGAACAGTGTGACGATTAACTGATAGTATACACATGAATTAACTGGCACTAATTATCCACTGGAATCATTAATTCCTAATAACATAGAGTCCTTGGGTGAGTCGTCATAGCTGGTTCTCACTAGTAGTGTCATGTGGGGTGAGAGGACCCATTCGTAATGTCATCATTGTGGGGTAAGAACACCTTTCCACAATATCCATGGATTAGAACTTCTAGGTTGATTTTATTTTTAATTTTTATCCCCTAGGAGGCTTACAGACTGCTAATGTCTACACTGAATTCTGACAGCTATGGTGACTGTTGTGAAAAAGTAGCTGAAACCTTTTATAACATGGGCAGCGTCTGTTTTGCCAAAGGAGAACTTAGAAAGTCCATTCAGCTGCTAAGGAAGGTGAGAGAAGAAAGGCAATCTAGCCATTTTTTTTTTTTTTTTTACATTTTCTTGGTGGGCTTATTATAAGCATAATTTGATGAATAGTGTGTGTATATATGTGTGTGTATTAGGGTTCTCTAGAGGAACAGGACTGATAGAGTAAGTACTCACACACACACACACACAAACACACATACAGATTTATTAGAGGTGCTTACAGCCTGCAATCCAGCTAATTCAACAATGGGTAGCTATGGATAGAAAGTCCAAGAATCTATCAGTTGCTCACTCCATGAGGCTGGATGTCTCAATTGGCTTCAGTTTATGTTGGGATCCTGAAGAATTCGACTCTAAAGCCAGTAAAGGAATGGACCTGCCAGCTACAGAGAGTAAAGACAAGCAGGCAAAGAGCAAAGCCTTTCTTCTTTCATGTCGTTTATATAGGCAGACAGCAGAAAGTATGACCCAGATTAAAGGTGGATTTTTTTTTCCACCTCAAAAAAAACCTAGATTAAAAGTAGGGCTTCCCACTTCAAGTGATTTGATTTAATTAAGAAAAATTAAGGATCTAGGAAGAATCCCATGAAGCCTTGCAGTGAAAGGTCTCAAGGACACTGTGAAGGGGAAGCCTGTCTTACACTGCAAGCCTACCAGAGTGTTGAAGACAACAGGAATGTAGACTGTCTGCCAAGGAAAGCTAACAGCCCAGAGAAGTCAATTGCCCTGCAAGCAGGAGGACCATAGGAGCAGGTTTGTGCCCCTTGGAACTCAGATAATGTCATGGATTATATTGGATGCTATACATGGAGGTATACATATATATATATTCATATATATGAATATAAAAGCTTTTTCATATGTATTTATTATATATACATGTATATATGAAGTACTATATATGAAAAATCTATAATGAGATCTGCTGTCCTCTTCTGGTATGCAGACATACATGCAGGCAGAACATTGTAGACATACTAAATAAATCTTGAAATAAAGAAACAAACAAAACAAAGAGGGAGCTTTCTTGCCTCTTCTACCTTGTGAAGTTACAACAACATGGCTGTCTCAGGACCAGGAAGCAGAACCAAATCATATACAAAGGATTAAGACAGAATCACTGCATCTTCTACTTGTAAGAATTCAACGTAGAGATTAGGCTTCTGAAAGCCTAAGAAGAGGTATGCTGTTGCCAGCTATTTTTTTCTTTAGACTTGTCTCTACTACAATCTTGGAAAGAAGTGGAAGGCCATTGTAATGGTGGGTAATTGCTATGAGGTCTGAAAAATCTTCAGCCTGGAGTTTGCTCTCAATGAGATGGAAATGGACAACTGTGCCAAAGAAGACTGGGGCTGAGTCCAGAACTGCCCCAGAACTTCAAAGAAGAGGAGAGAGCATCAACTGTAGACGCTGAGCAGAGACCCTCTGTACAACAGAGGAAAAGGATCATACAGATGAAATTCTAGTGATACTTTTGGTTGATTTCTTTTTTGGTAACTTTGGTTTCACATAAAAGAAATTAAAGGATTAATTGACAAAATGTAGAAAAGAGATATTTAGAAGTTATAATCTGTGCTTGAATAATTGTAATTAACCTCTAAGAAATGTCAATTTGGTCAGCTCTATATATCAATGAAACTGTTTTTCCAGTCAATACAATGTATATAACAACTACTCCCAAATGTTTCCTGATGCTCTTACGTAATTCATCAATTCTACATTATCTTCCGGTACTAGCAAAACAGCAACAATAATCAAACCAAGAAAACAAAAACAGAAACATGGGTCAGTGGAATTGAGGACCCCGGAAATAAACCTACACATCCATCTAATCTTTGACAAAGTGTAAAAAACATGCATTGAGAAAAAGACAGCCTTTTCAACAAATAGTGCTGGGAAAAGGATACCTATCTTCAGAACAAGAAAACTAGACCCATAAGAGAAAGTTAAAGAAGTTTTAAGAGGAAAGCTCTGAATGCTTATGTTGAATCTCATTGACATCTCAGATAACTTAATGTACCTCAAGGTCTAAAACAACCCAAACCTCCAAACAGCAACATGTGAGAAACAATAAAGACGTGCCATTACTGACTGCAGTGGATATGATATGCAGTTATACTAGACCCCACCAACATATTAATGAATAAAGGAAATGTGGTATGTAAATGAACAGAGTGGAGTTTTACTGAGGGATGACATCATCACAATTTTTATCTATGTTGAAACTGGAAGAGTGTGTGTGTGTGTGTGTGTGTGTGTGTGTGTAACATGAAAATAGAAAAATAACTATGAGGAGAAGAGTGTAAAGGGGAGGGGGAAGAAGAAACAAGAGACTTATTAAAATATATGTGACATGAAAGCAAAAGGAGGGACCATTTGGGATGAGGAAGGGGACCTTAATAAGGAGAAATGGGCACTGGTGTGTAAGAAAAGAGTAAAATGATATATGCATACGGAAATGAAAATTTCACAGTGAAACCCACTGCTTTGCATGCTAACACATTTAATAAAGATTTTTCTGTCTGTGCGCGTGTGTTCAAATTCCTCTGTTCCATTGATTTGTCTGTTTAAATGCTAATAACTATCAAATAGTGTAGGTTTAAAACAAGGCTTAAAGTTGGGGAGATTTAGTTCTTCTTCAAAGTTGTTAATGATCTTCTGAGTTTTTTCCATTTCCAGAGGAATTTTACAGTCACTATGTCAATTCATAAAACTTGCTGGAATGTTGACTGAGATTGCATAGAAAGCCCATATTTGTTTGGGCTTGACTGGATAGTTTAATAGTATTTGTTATCTCTCTCATGAACATGGATCACATAATGAATATAAATTATAATTATCACAGTTATATTTTGTAGTTTCCAATGTAGAACTCTTGTACACATCTTCTCATAGTGCATTACTTAATTCTATATAAAATCTATCATTTCAGACTTTACTTTCTGATTGTTGCTGGCATATGGACACACAGTTGATTTAGATCTTGTATAATCTGGTGTCCCATGACCTCAATACACTTACTGAACTTGTGAGCTCCTGTACTGTGTTATAGATTCTGCCAAATTTCTACATGGATAATTATAGCATGTGCTAATAAATGCTCTGTCTTTTATTCCAAGATGGATGATTTGTATTTCTTTTTCTTATTTTATTGCACTGGTTATAATACAAGAGCTGTGTCAAGTAGGCATGATGAGAACAGACACCTTTGTCTAATCCTAAGCTTTGTAAAAAAGTTACTTAAATTTTCATTGTAGAGTTGATGTCAGCTATACATTTTTTTCAGACATTTAATTATTTTGAAAAGTTTTCTTTTCCTTCTGAGTTGGTGAGAATTTTTAATTAGAAGTGGGTGTTGAGGTGCTGGAGAGATGGCTCAGAGCTTAAGAGCACTGGCTGTTCTTCCAAAGGTCCTGAGTTCAATTCCCAGCAACCACATAGTGGCCCACAACCATCTATAATGATATCTGGTGCCCTCTTCTAGCATGCAGGCATGCATGCAGGCAGTACATTGTATAAATAATAAATCAATAAATCTTAAAAAAAAAGAAGTGGGTGTTAAATACTATGAAATTATTATTCTGTCTCTATTGCAATAACCCATAGCTAGTTTCTATTTAGATAGTCTTATTTCATTGTTATCAAATTCTCAAGACCACTGATTTTTTTTAAAAAAAATCTATTATGAAACCAGTTGTTAATCTTACCTAGTTTATTTTCATGTCAGGCATCTTTTTCTCTGGAGTTTGATTAGGCCTCTTTATACTATATATACTTATCCATATCTCTTTTTTACCTTAAAATAAACACACACATACATAAAGGGAAAGAGAGAGACAAGCAGAGGATATAGTTCCAAGGTAGTAATGATTTTAATGTACTTCATATATTTTTTGTGATAGGGTCTCACTGTAGCTCAGATTGATCTTAAACTCATGATCTTTATTGCTTCAGCTGAGTACTATTGTTACATAGGCACATCCTACTGTGCCTGACTTGTTGGTTGCTTTTGATTGGTTACTTTTTATCACTGTGTTTGTTTTTCATGCTGAGTAGTCTTTGTTTGGATACCAGAAACTATAGATTTTTTCTTATGGCTTTTTGAGATAAGGTTTCTCTATGCAGCCATGGCTGTCACAGAACTCACTCTATAGTGTCCTTCAAATCAGAGATCCACTGGCCTCTGCCTCCTGAATGCTGGGCTTAAAGGCATGTGCCAGCACCACCCAGCTGACACTATAGATCTTATTGGGTACTGTATCTCATTCATCTTCTTACAATTATTCTTGAAATTGATTCCAGTTAAACTAAATAATGTGGCCCATGCCTAGCTTTGAAGATCTCACATGAGACTAGACACCATTTAGTCAAGGGTGAAACAGGTACTAGCCTGACCTGATGTAAATGCCAGGTGCTCTGCCCAGCAACCCCCTCCTCCAGATGATTCCTTTCTGTGCTTTCTGCATTTTCCTTTAATGCATGGGCTAGCCATTGCTGTTTGAGGGAGCCCTACTATGATATTGATGGTTTTCCTATGAAAGGGGCTCCTCTTTGTTACCATTCTCTGAGTCTACTTGAAGTCTCAGCTTCATGAGAGATTCTGGTAAGAATAATTTATCTCTTCTCTGTGGGATAGCCCAGAAACCTAAAGTGGTGGCCTGGGATAATCATGCTGTATACCACACTTACTTTCTCTCTTTAAGACAATCACAGTCCTTTATTGACTGATGTACAGTGTCTTGGAAATCAGTTCATACATTTTGTATACATTCTATTGGCTGTTTGAGAAAGAGCTTAAATCTGTTTTGGGGTAATGTTTGTACACTGTGGGAAGGTGTGTCTCTGTTACTGTTCTACTGGCAGGGAGCTGAGTACGGACACATTTTGGTATTGTTATTTGTATGTATCATTACCTGCCTCATATCTTGTAAACATTCATCCATCATTTGTTGGTTTAATAAAGAACTGATGGCCAATATGTAGGCAGGGCAGGGAAGGCGGAACTTCCGAGCTGAGAGAGGGTCTCTGTGAGAATAATCAGACATTGGAAAATTTGCTAGCAGGACATGAAGATGGATAGACATGAACAGCAGCAAAGAAGTAGAGCTGCCACATACAGGGTCATGGCAAGATAGCCAGGATAAGCTTAGAGTAGCTGAGAGTCTGCCCAGCTAAGGCTTTAGCTTTTACAAATATTAATAAGTCTCTGTGTCTTTATTTAACTGCTGGCAGGTCAAAAAAAAAAAAAAGTCCCGCTATAAATCTGGTTCTGCTATTCCATTTTATGTGAAAACAAATGTCAGCAATAAACTTTCAAGAAACCCACCTAAGAATAAAGTAATCAGCATCAGAATGCAAGGCAGCTTTGAGAGATATTCATGGACTTTAATTCTGTCTATTTAGTTTGAGTTATTCGAAAGTTCTGACAGAAACCACTGTTGTAGTCGTCATGTCTTAAGAGGGAGTCTATCAATTTTGAATGTTATTTTGGTCATCCATAGCAACAGGTACTGTAAACTAGATTGCATATATAGTGCATGAAGGATACAGAAAGTAATTAGACTGCTTTTCTCGTTGGTCAGAAACCAATGGAATGAAGCACAGGCATTCCATCTGTAAACTTGTAACAGCCCAGTTCCACTAGTCTGCTTCTGAATTAGGTTTGCAATTGATGCGTTTGCTCAGAGTCTCTTTAACCTGTTCCATTTCGCACTTCGTCTACAGTGTCTGATGGTTCAGATTCTCATCTATGGAAATGAGCATACTAAGAGCAAGAAGACTAAAACCCTTCTTTACCTACTGCAGAGGTAAGTTCTGGGTCTGGACACAACCATGTCAGCACTATGGGTATATGAACACATCTGTCTCTGATCCAGCCAGGTATTGGTGACTTACCTAGTCAGGCAAAACTATTACCTCAGCTATGGGTTTTTGTCAGATTCTATACTGGAAATAATCAGTTGATCTCTTAATAGCTTAGGACCCAGAATTATAGGAGTTGCTGTATATTATTACATATGCAAATACCTTAAGCATGCTGCACATTTTAGCCAAATCCTGTAAGACAAGGTCTTTACTGACATTATGAGAGACACAATATTGTATAAATATGGATTTTTACAAAGTCAATAAATGAATACATTAAAATTATTTTTCTCATTTATTATATCTAGGTCTTTAAATATAGGCATGTTTGGGGCAATTTAGCATATCCAGATTTTTTTTTATGCTTAGATTTAAGCCAGAAGAAATGTTTGGCAGACCTGCCCCCATTCTCCTCCTCTTTCATATAAGTGATATTTGTACATCTCAATGTGATATTTATCTTAAACTATTCCCTTCTAAGAAAAAGGAACTAAATTAAGTGTTCACTAAAATCCTCAGTTGAGCTAGGTCCTGCTTAGAAAGGATTTCCTTTAAACTTCCATAACTACCCAATATGAAGCTCCCGTTTGACAGAACAGAGTCCAAGGTTTTGAAGACTTTTTGTCTTCTATAGTCTTAGAGATTTGGATCCAAGCAAATGTGACCCAAAAGGCCTGTGCTTTTTCTCAGTACTCTAACAAAGAGGCCATTGTTACTGTTAGGATTCTGATTTCATTCTACAGAAGGATACCATTCTCAGCAGATGCAGCAGGTTAGGCAGGATGGAGAGATGAGCTTGAGGAACATGGCAGTCCATGCTATCTGTGACAGTTTCAGTCAGCCATACCTGAAGTAGGCTCCTGTCTACTTAGCATCATCCAGGGAATTGGGTTTCTCAGTCCCCTTCTATGAGGTTCATGTTAGGGACTCAGAGGACCAACCTCACAGAAGCAGGGGACAACTTGCTCCCTGCTTATATACAAGTGTATATAAATGCATATTTCTTAATCAAAACAGAAAGAATGTGAAAAATTAAAATAAGGTTCTTCTTCCATATAACACAAGCTTTTTTTGACTCATAAACTTCACCTGGGTAGGTATGTTTTTCTCTCAGAATAAAACTGGAGCTTAGAATGTTTGGGTATTTTGTTTAAAAAAAAATCATATAGCCGGTAATGGTGATAAGATTTGAATTAAAAGTGATTAGATTCTTTTCTTTTGCTATGTAGTAAGGACTTCAGTGAATTTGAGTTGTATGAATGGGTTCAGCAACTTGGCTGAGAAGCTCCAGAGCCATTTTCCATATGAAAAAAATGGAGAATCGATTTACTTAGACTGGTGTGCCCAGGAAGAGGCACAGCTGGAATTTAACACAGACCCCTCTAACTTCAGAACGTGGCCCCTGAAGGCTTTCACTCTAAAAGCAGATCTAAAACTCAAAAGTCCACTGCTCAGCTCTCTCGTCTTATAGCACTCACTCAGCGCACCGAGCCTGTAGTCATGTACCACCATAATGATGACACCTCCCTCAGCAAGTACACACTTCCCTCTCATCTCTGCATTAATGCAACTGTACATAATGGTCAGGTTTGGGCAGGCCTTAAATGTTAAATGTTCACTGATTGTCAACATCATCATAGTATGTCAATAATGATAGTAATTCCTTTTCTGGAGAGTAGATTTAATGAACCAGAATGTTTAAATAAGTCAGATATATAACCATATTATTATTTTATATAGGATTAGGGTAAGGAATATTCATGACTGGAGTAAAACTTAGGGTTTTAACCCATTTGTACCACTTTGGAAGTACCTGAACCTGAGCAAATCATTTACCCTTCTTGAGCTTTGGATTCTTCATCACTAAAGTGTAACTATCAGTAAATCATGAGTTGTCATAACTTTTAAGCCAAGTCCTGTCTATGCATGCATTGCACAGGGCCCAGCAGAGTATGTGCTAAATCAGTGTTAGCAAAGCATTTGTCCTTCCCTGCCTTATAGAACATCCTCTGCCTCTTACTTTTAAGGCAACACGTCAGGATAACTGAAATTGAAGGAATTGTTAATCTGAATTACCATATTTTATGTCTGAGAATTTGACACTCTGACCTATTTAAAGTACCTTTTGTGTTTTGAAATTAATGAAACAAACAAAAGCAACATGCAATTTCAGGGAAGAAACACAGGCTCTTTCCACAAAATTAGAGCAAAAAATTCTACTCAGCCTGTATTCAAACAAGAGAAACCTCAGAACTGGTGAGAGAGCTCAGTCAGTTAAGGGAACCTACTGCCACGTCTGAAGATCTAAATTTGATCCCTGAGACCCACATAGTGGGAGAAAAGAATAGACTCATGGAAGTTGTCCTTTGACCTCCAAATGCATGTCCATGCATACCATGTCATGCACACACAAATACACACACACAATAGATTGAGAGAGAGAGAGAGAGAGAGAGAGAGAGAGAGAGAGAGAGAGAAAGCAGAAAAGAAAGATAGATAGATATATAGATACATAGACACATAGATACATAGAAGATATGAAATCCACAACTGGTCAAGGTTCAAAGAATAAGTGACTGCTGAGTGCCCAGGCCTGAAAGAGACTTCAGTCATACCTTCCCTCTTCCTGGGGCTCAAGGATCATTGTGGAAGAAGGAGCAGAAAGACTATAAGGGGCAGGGATGGTTGGATGACTGCAGGGAAACAATGTCCTCGGCATACAGCAGTTTTTCATATGAACTCATAATGATTGTGACAACATACTCAAAATCTGTACAAATTTATGGCACACATGTAAAATTATGTAGGCATTAATAGGGATCTGAGGCTGTAAAAAATTAGGAAGCAAATTTGGGTCGGTGAGATGAGAGGTGAATCTGGGAGGAGAAAGAGGACGAGATAAGATGGTCAAAATACAGTGTACCAAGACTTAATAATATATATTGTTTTTTTGAGACAGGGTTTCTCTGTGTAGCCTTGGCTGTCCTGGATGACTTTGTGGACCAGGATGGCCTTGAACTCACAGAGATCCCACCGCCTCTGCTTCCTGGGTGCTGGGATTAAAAACTTGCACCACTGTGCCTAAATATTTTTAATTGTTTAAAAGAGAAACCTCCAGATAAATGTAGTGAATATATTTTCTCAGTAGCCTCAGGTTGACAATTGCCATAGAAGGAGGAGAAACTAGGAGACGTTTGTGGAAGTCAGTACCAAAGCCAGGCAGTCTAAGTTTCTCTAGGTTTTTGAACTTCAGTTGATCAGATTTCAGATTCCCATCCTCTCACTACGTAAAGAACCTGGCTTTGAGGGGTTTGCATCTGCTTATGGAGACACCTGTTCACACCCCAGAGCCCATTTTACATATGGAAACAGTGAAAACTGAGTTTTAGAGTCCCTTTGCCCAGGAAGAGACAGGAACACTGGGCCATAATGGAGGTCTCTAATTGCAGATCTGGATCTAGCCAGAGCTGTACACATAAGGTGGAGGACGGCCTTTGAAGGCCTCTGCTATAGTACATGTTACATCAGTAAAGGTTTTTCTTTCCCTGAAACAAGCCCGTATCTCATTTTCCAAGAACTGCAGAGCAAAGCCATGGGGCAGTTGCCAAAGCCCAGATGTCCAAAAGCTGTGCAAGAATTGCTCTTTTTGCTTCAGCATCTCACTGGAACAATCAGTCCCAGATGTCCTGGGACTCTGCTCATGTTCCCATGTGTTCTAGCGTGCTTTGCACCACCTCCTTTAGGAACTCAGTGAAATGCTCACTGGCCGGCCATGGCCAGCAGCCTCAATTCTTGTCTTTTGGAGCCTTTGCAAAGCAGTTGGAGCAGAATGGGCCATTTGAGGTAGGAGTTAATTCCAAAGCAAAACAATAGCTCAAGGGCATCACATGAGATTTCAGTACATAGAAAAGGCAGAGAAAACATCAGATTTGGAAATAAATATGAAAGTTGTTTAGTTTAAATTTTATCTGAGTTACAAATGTACTTCAGTTGTTTGTTTTTGTTTTGTTTTTCCTTTTATTGTTATTGTTTTTTTTTTTTTGAGATAAGGTTTTTCTGTGTAGCTTTGGCCGTTCTGAACTTTGTAGACCAAGCTGGCCTTGAACTCATAGACACCTGCCAGCCTCTGCCTCCCTGACTGCTGAGAGCAAAGGCATGCGCCACCATGCCCAGCGTGCACTTCAGTTTTAATCATTCCTAAATCAAGCTCCTAAGAATGAAGAGTATTTACTATGTTTAAGATATTTTCCTTTCAGAGGAAATATATACATAACCAGTTTGAAATTAGTCTGTAGCATGTTTTTTTTTTTTTTTTTTAAATAGAATCATAAAAAAAAATGTCAGGGACTAAATTGTAAAGCCAGAACCATGAGTGTAAACTAGGTGCAGGAAGGGATTAGGCTCTCAAACAAGGTACATGACTGTAACACCAGATAGAAGAGGAGCCAGAGAGGAGTCTTCCGAGCAGTGTGAACAAAGCTTAGTGTCATGAAGGTGGCTGACATTTCTCAGGAAAGCAAGTAATAAGTTCCATGAGTAATTACATGCGGTGGGTAAACTTGGAGTGAAATACTGGGGCTATACTATACGGCTATTATAGACTATAATAAATTGTTTGGAACTTATTGAGAAGGCAGCCATCAAAATATTTTGAACAGGATATGATAGCCAGCTGCTTGCTTTCAGACAGTAACTCTGATAGCAATGGCAAGAAAGATCGTACGTAGGGAGAACTACAACCTAGAAGGCAGATCTGACCACCCGGGAGAGAGGTGTTGAGATCCTTCGGTACCTAAGCTATAGTAAAAGGAATGTAGAGATAGACTGAGAAACATTCCGCAGTCTATGTTGACAAACTTTGAAAGCAACTGCATGTGAAGTGTGGCAGTGGCAAGACTCAAAGGTGGCTTTGAAATCTCTGGCTTGACAAGTGGATGAATATAATGAATAGTGCTGGCAGAGGAGGCTATTGTGGAGGATGTCTAGGACTTAGGGAGATAATGATTTACACGTTGCTTGTGCTACGTTTGAAGTACTCCCTGTACACCTTCTTGGCAATGTTTAGCAAGCTGATAACTTGTTAGTGGCCTTTAGTTCTCTGCCTTCACATCTTTTATGGTAGTGACTCCTAAGCCAGTAAGAGGCAGTTCTGGCATACCTTGTCTTTGGCAGAACAAGGGGGAATTTATAGTCAACATCCGTCCTGCCATGCCCACAAAATAGGTAGGAGGGTCCAGCATGGAATAAGGCAAGCAGAGTACACACTTCATCTCATGGTCTCTTTCTGTTATTAAATACCTGGAGCAATACTTGCCACTCAACAGCAAAATGCCAGGTTTGGTAGTGGCTGGTTTATTAGTCTTTTCTGCAATAGGCTGTGGCCAGGGGAAGACCTATACCATTACTACATATTTGCTATTCAGGGGGCAGTCCACTGTACAAGAAGTAGCTCAAAGAAACAATAAAATACAAAGTGTGAGTTCCAGATTAGAGCTCACTGTACAAGGAGGACAAAAAGGAGGCGGTAGCTAGGGGACCCAGAAAAGCCTTCAGAGTGTAACCACTGAGCTGTTTCCCAAAGGGTCAATTCAGCCAAATGGAAAGGGGAAGCCATTCCAGGAAGAAAGAAAAGTGTATGCAGAAACTGAGTGGAATAAAGGAGGGGAGTGCCTGGGAAGAATGGTAAGTAGTTAGCTTTTGCACAGGGCTGCACTTTCTGGTAGGGAATGCTCACTCCAGGACATGCACACAGGCTACCTGGGGAGGGAGAAAGGGCTGCAGCAGAAATCAGCTTAGGGAAAAATCCAAGCAGAAGTTAACAAAGTGACATGGTCACTGTGCTGCAGAACTCCACAGGACATTGAATACAAGAGTCTCTACCTATCTCTGTATCTTTACGAACCAAACTCTTTTTGATACAGCCAGTGATTTAAATTTTAGCAAATGAAACTTTAGACTATCTTTAGGACTCAAATAGACCAAGTTGGTTTTGTTGAAATCAAAGGCTATAAGACCTGTTTGATCTGAGGGCTCAAGAATGCTTTTGTAGTTTGGTAAAGAATTCGGGTCCTACTTTAGGGCATGATGAAGTCTTAGGAGAGTAATTACATCAACAATCAACCATTTATCTGATTGCAGAAACCTAACTTTAACATGTATGTCCCTATGAGCTAATTGTTCCTTGTGATTCACAGTGATTGAGAGTAGAAGCTCAAAAGGTAGACATGGTGGCTTCTGCCCAAAGTCTCAGCTACTTGGGAGGGTGTGACAGACAGAGCACTTAAGCCTTGAGGTCAGCCTAGGCAGCATAGTAGACCACAGTTTCACTGTAGCTCTGAAAACAGGAGGGGCTGGTTTCAAACCACTAATACTTTCTAGTTATATGTAATCCTGATTTTCTTGTCTATAAAATGGACTGCTGTAAGAAATAAGGACTGCTGTAAGAAATAAATGAAATGCTTGTGAAGCGTTCATTCACAGTAACCACGTACTAAACTAACAGCCATTTTTAAAAATTGTGATTTCATTGATGCTTAAAGCAAAGAGGAGCAGTGGCTGGCTGCTTGGGCAAACTAAACTCATGGATGACATTGTTCGTTAGCATGTCAAATGGGACCTAGAACCCCCGAAAACAAAAAACGTAAACACAGTTTGAAATGAACTTAAAACCAAAGAGACTGACTACACAGTGGGAAAAAGAAAAAAGTTCTTGGCAATACAGAGGATTTTGAGCAGGGGAATCCTGCCACCATGTGGCAGCTAGCTGACTTCACTCTCCTAGCACTAGTCCTCAGATCTTTGCCCACCTCTGATTTGGTGTGACCATTGAGCAGACTGGATCTGTGCCTGTTTTCTCTGCTAACTAACATTAACTCTTGCTTACTGGCGAGATAACTAAAGCCACTGGTAACTTCCTGTGTGTGATGCAGCAGGTAGCAGTCAAGGCATGAAACAGGCTTTAGTGAGACTGTACATTTAAAACCCCAAGTTCCTTATACAATTGTGCATCAGATTTCTGTGGATTGTAGTTACTCCATCCCTCCAAGGGCTATGAAATCACCCCTTTTGTAGACTGGAGGCATAGAGGGTGTCTGAAAATCACTCTTCATAGAAGCTCTGTGGATGAGTATTTTGGCCCACACTTCTAACTGTAGCTCAGCTCTTCCAGTATTAGGAAAAGGGAGTATAGAAGCCATAATGGCCAGAAACAGACAAGGTGAGTCCTCTCATGGCTTAAGGTACCTCTGGGGTGTGAATCTCTGTGCTCATCAGAAATTACCTGAAAATCCCAGAGTACATTGGATAAATTAGAAGGTAAGTAAATGCAATGTAGGTAGTTCAGAAACCCAGACTTTGCCATCTCAGTCCAGGGATTAGCTTTGCTCTCTTGGGACACAGCCAAGATTCTGATCCTCTTTTAGACTTGTTTAAACACTCAGCATGGTGGAATATGGTAAGGTGATGTCATGTGATGCTACCGTTGTGCATCCTTTCAACACAGGCAGGCAGCGATGTGGTGCTGGGAGGACTGTCACCACAGGGAAGAAAGAATTAAAATCAAAGTGCTTTTCTCCTTCCTTCTAGGTCTTATGCTATCCGTGAATTGAAAACTCTACATAAGGTAGCCAACAATAAAAACAACCTTGTTGCTAACCGAAACTCTAGAGCATAAACTGTGTTTATCAGTATGGACAGCTGTGACCAAGGCAAAATGGACAAGTTTTGTTTTTGTTTTAACTAAGGAGTCTAAAGACTCTTGAGGAAAAAGTTCCACCTAGCAATATTTCCAGGGGCCTATGTAAGAGCTGTTAGGACCCAGGATCTTTATAACTCACTCAGGAAGAAATGCTTTTAATCGTGCTTTGTTTAGGTTGTTCTTCATGTCACTGGGACTCTGTCCCCTCCCAGTTCTCTTTTTTAATTGTAATTTACTCCTTGAAGTCCTGACTTTTTTCTTCTAGATACTATGGGTTGAACACAACCACACACTGGGAGAGGGCTCCAGTACTGCACATCTCAGGCCTGAGCTTTAAAAAGTATGCACTACCTTATAAGCAGTTTACCAATGAACATGCTAATAATCTGTTTGGAAGTGGTTTTAGTTACAGCCTGTTTAAGGCTATTAAAAACTGCTTTGTGAGTAAAATAAAGGATAGAGACCCAGAGGGGACAAGAACTGCACAAGAAGACCAGCAGAGTCAACTAACCGAGGCCAACTGCGGGCTTACAGAGACTGAACAACCAGCTAAAGAACATACGTGTACTGGACCTAGAACCCCTATACTTGTATAGCTGATGGGTAGCTTGGTCTTTATGAGGGTCCCTAGCAATTAGAATGGGGGCTGCCTCTGATATGGACTCTGTTGCCTGTTTTTTTGTTCACTTTCTCCTAGCTGGACTGCCTTGTGTGGCCTCAGTGGAAGAGAAGAAGGGGGAGGGGGGGAAAGGGAAAGAGGATGGGAAAGTGGGGTGGAGGGAAGGGAGGGGTTGTGATAGGGTTGTAAAGTGAATGAATAAATTAATTAAAAAATAGCAGTACCTCGTAAGCAGTTTATCAATGAACATTCTAATGAACTGTTTGGAAGTGGTTTGAGTCACAGCCTGTTTAAAACCACTATTAAAAACTGCCTATTAAAAACGGCTCTGTGAGTAAAGTTTGAGTCTCCTGAGATATTTGTCTTGATCTCATTATATATTAGAATCGAAAAGGATTTTTATTTTATAAATGAAAAAAAATATGGATAGGACAGGAGAAATCAAAGAACTTTGTTTTTAAGGTTAGCTTGGTAGTTATTCCTGGAACATAGCTGGTTGTTCCTCCCACGCTGCCTCTACCAAACTGGCTTTTAAAATCTTCAGAAAAAGGTGGGCTGGGAGGATGGCTCAATGGCTAAGAGTGCTCGCTGGATTAAGTCTAATTATCTGAGTCTGACCATTGAAGTGATGCAAAATAAAAATCTAGATTTACTGGTATATATCTGCAAGTCTGGCATTCCTAGGGTGGCAAGAGTGAAACGGGAGAACCATCTGAAATGGAGGCTGATAGGCCAGCTAGTGTGGAATCTTCTGCACAGCAGCAGAAATGAGGGAGACTGGCTCACCCAGGTTGAAGGCAAGAACAGACTCTAGGAAGTTGTCTTCTTACCTTCACACAGGTGTCATGGCTTGTGTGCCCTTCCCTCTCTCTCTCTCTCTCTCTCTCTCTCTCACACACACACATGTAAATAAGCAATAGATCTTAGAAAATGAATGCTCAGAGTTTTTAGAAAACATTCCTCAGATGATGAAATATCTAGTAAAATAAATTGGCGTTCTTGAATTATATTCTTTTTCATATATGCAAATGCAAGAGAAAAAACTCACATTAGTTTATACAGCTTGAAAAAAAATTTCTCTCTTCACCCTCCTACCTGAACTGACTCAATATTTGTTTACTTTCCCTCTGCTGGGACCTGATTAGGAGTAGGTAACTCCTCCTTGCTCCTCAGGGAACCGCCATTGGCTTGGATTCCAGTGAACACCACTAAGGGTTGCATGGGGGAACTATCTTGGTCAGGACAGACCCCCTCTCTGGCTCACACCAAGAGAGATTTTGGTCTATCTGCTGTTATTGCTGCTGTTGTGGTGGGCCTTACTGCAGCTGCTGCTACTGCCACAGTGGTGACTGCTTTACAAAACTACTCAGACAGCAGCCAGCCTAAACAACATGTCTAGGTTCACAGCCTCTGCTCTTGATAAGCAGTTACAAGTTAATCAGCTTCTTCAGTTGGGGGCCCTTAACCTTCATCTTCAAGTGGGTCTGCTACAACATGGTGTCAGTGATTTATGGGATCTGGCACATGTTGCCTGTGTATCCTGGGTATCCTGCTATTTGCCTCACTCAATATCAAACGCACCTCAATAAGAGTAGCGCCAAACAGCTCCAGCACCAACGTGTAAAAGGTGCCCGGAACAACCCTTTCTTTCTGTCCTTCATTGGCTCCATCAGGAGATAATGGGCATAAATACCACCAGGGTGGATGTAGTCACCTTATCTGACATTTCTTCCAGGATGTGGCTTCCAAACTCACCCAGTAGTTTGTTTATGCCATGGTAATTGTAGTTTTACTTATCATATTTTTCCTAATATGACTTAAAAATCATATATAATTCCAAAATCAGCACGCTAAAGCTCTCCTACTGAATATTTTTAGCCTTGAAATTAAAACAGGAGGGGGAGCCTGTGAGGAATGTTGAGGTAAGCCTTTTGAAGGTCCATAGGGAATGACAAGTGAAGTGTCAGCAACTCCTCTGACTCCTCAAAAGGTCCTGATCCGCTGCACTCAGTGTGTGATCCACTAGGGACTCCTAGCACACTAGTGAAGTCTCAAAACAGACCATTTCCCCCTTCTTTACAGAAGCCTCCTAAGGAGATCTTGCCCCTCTACCCCCTACATTCCCCACATTTCCATATAGTTGCACCAACCTGATTGATTGTTACTGGTGCTTGAGACTAGCATGGGATGGTCTGATTGAGCCGTTCAGTCGTTTAAAGGCTTTTACACTGGATAATAAAGTTAGATCTGCACCTTTGAGTCTGGTCTCCGAGCTTCTGCATGGGCTCTGTCGCCATTCACCCCCTTTTCTCCTGCTTCCTGATCCCCACACA